GAAAGCTTTCGATCCAAGATTTGATCCGGTCTAGGCGCAGATCTAATCTTGCCAGTTCTACCACTCAAGTAATAAAGGTTCAAACATTACAAAATGAGTCTCAGGTAATTTTACCCTTTCTAAATAGGAAAAATAGAAAAAAAAAGAAATCTTTGCATACTTTAGACTGCTATTGTATACATATATGAAGGCTTGCTGTTGATTTCATGTACATAAAATTGCGCTTCTTGTTTGCTTTTCTGACTTTTGATTTTCTCATCTGAAAGACCAAAGTGTCCGAGTTTAAGCCTGCGCTAACTTGTGTTGCAACCTCCACGTGTGCTACTTCTGATTTATCAGCGCCTCTCGCTGACTCGCATTCCTCAATGTATGACACGTATCTGATGAGCAGATTTCTCGGTATGCCGTTGCCACCAAACTACGAGGATCGGCTCTGGATCACCAAAATTCTCGACCATATGAGGTAGGCTATCAGTGACTTCAATGTGCAGCAACCTTATGCAAAGATAATCGCAAGTAAAGCTTTTTTCACATGGGGCAACTTATTTTTTGAATGCATTCTTCTGGTAAGAATTTTTGGGCGATCATGTCATTTGGGGGCATTGAAGTGAGTGGGCCACTCATAGAACTCGGGACTAAGCCTTAGGGAGGGGAAAGGATTCTGGGAGAGGATGAGCAACCATTGTTCTCCCTGGTTTATTCCCAATCCTGGGCTTAGTCCTAGTGTCACCTACCAGCGGTTTTTGAATGCCCTGTTTTGAATGTCCCCCCCCTAAGGACATGAGCACATTTTTGTGTCAATTCTTCTCCACCTTGCTTCTTCCAAGAGGTGCTGCGCGCTAAGGCATCGCAAGATAGGGCAAGGGAGGAGGCATCTTCTAGCACTAAGCGTTAGAAAAGAGGCGCAAAAGTAATTAATGTTCACCCATCGTGAAGTCTGTCCCCTTTCCCTCCCCTCCTCCCTTTCCTAAGTGTTACCACTAAATGAGCTTTATAAAAAATGAAATGTTTACCGCAGTTTCAGATGCGCTGTCAACAATGCTCCCACCCGCCCCTTCCCCCTCCTCTTTCCTGTTTTGTTATGGCGTTAGATTTGACTTTCATTCTAAATTGTAGAGGCAGTTATGGTGGATGGGTACAAGACTTCTGTCGACCAAAGGGTAAGAGCGTTGATAGAGAACACACTTTGTGTCTTGTTGGGACTAAGCCTTTCAAAGAAGATAAAGAAAGAGAGATACTGTAATAGTGTGCACTTGTGAGAGCTCCCAGACATCGCTACAAAACGCTGACCGTCCAGCCTCACCGTTGACAGAAATCCGGTGACCAAGATGAAGAAGCCGCTATAAAATAATCTGTAAGGGGAGGAGGGTGAGGGGTACCGAGTAGGACAACCGGTATAAAAAGTAGTGTTTCTGGCCCCCGATTTGATCCCAGATTATGCGGGTGAGTGGCGATACACACATGCGTTTGAAGCGAGTGTCGCACTTCGAAAGTTCAAACTAAGATCAGTTGCCTCATCGATGCTCGAGATTGCTCACTGTAGAGGGGTGTGAGTGTGGTACGTGCGAATGAGAGGAATGAGAAGAGATCGAGGAGAGATAGAGTGATAGTGAGGAGTAATAAAAGTGGTTGGCGGTTCGCAATAAAGGACTTCTCGCTTTGGTTCTTGTGCTACACACCGACTACACACCAACTCTCACTATTCTTAACACATTGCGTACCGCGTGCGCCACCATGTGGCGCACGATTTCGCACGAAACAGCATAGTTTAATCTGATTTATTTGACATTTTTCAATGCTCCTGAACTGTTTGCACTCATTTTCAGAGCCGGAAACCATACGTGTCATCACTGATAAAATTGTTGATAGATTAATGATGATACATTTTTGAAAAATATAAAAAAGATACGAAGGTACTCATACAACGGCGGTCCGCAATGTGTTAAGTGACAAAAAAATTGGACATCGTTCAGTCCATGCAAGTCGTTCTAGCCCAAATATGCAGTTAAAGGGCTCTGTGATTTTGCTGCTAATTCGAATGCATGCCACACCTGGAGATTACTAGTTGATTCTGATAACTAAATTCCTATCCAACCCTGTGAAAGTTAATGTTTGCTGAGGATTTCCTGATTTTCTTGATGTTTCTCACTGCGCTACCAACTACTATATCGATCTACTACGGTGATAATCCAGTTCGTTCATAACACGTAATCGATTCATTTAAAATTACTTCTGATAAGGACCGGTGTAGTGTGGAAGTACTCCTAAGGTGCTTTCAGATTTCGGCCTGCTGTGGTCCAAGGAAATGGTCCTGAACTAGGGTATGGACATCCTTTCCTAGGCGCAAGGGTGTAGGAGCCCAGGGTGGACGATCACATGCCATAAATTGCCTAGGATGTGAGCAGGATGTGCGTGATGTAGGGCATACACCGGTCCTTATCAAAAGTGCACTTGAAATGAGTCGTTTACCTATTATCTTATCCATAGGGTTAAAGTCCAAAGGAAAGCTCCTTTACTCCTAATGAGCTCCAGGTTGCAATGCTTGCAGGGAAATAACCCACTGATGGTCCATCAAAACTTTCCGACGAGCGCTATAATTGAGCAGTGACATTCGCTCAGCTGCAGGATTTGAAATTTCTGAAATAATTTTGATTGTGGGGTAGTACCAAGGATACAGAAGCAACTAAATATGGTTGTTCTTGTTGAATCGAAGTCTTATTTCAATTTCTCAATTTCCAGTTACGAAGAGGCTTTCAGTCGACGGCATGAAATCGCTTTTCGTCCTTACAAGAAGGACCGCACTGCCAACATCCATAACAAATGGGTCTACAAGGTAATTTTTGTTGGTCAATAATCAAATTCAGTTTTACTACCTATTAGACGTTCCAAGCTAAAAATCACGAATCTGTATTCCGTCGCTGTGGCTGGCTGCCTGAGCGTCACTAACGATGGAACTAAAACCAGCATCTAGCACGGTCGCTCATTCCTAACTAACGCTTGGTTCTGCATTGGCATGCTCCTTGTCTTCAATACAAAATGGGCAGATCCGGACTCTGAATGCCTAACTCACCTTTTTCAGGTTGAATTTGAACTCTACAACGGCTCACACATCCAAACATGGGAGATCGAAGACCATCTTGTGCACTTGAAAGAGCTCGATACCTACAAGGAGGTTTGGCTGTTTCCCTCTCTTATAAGAACCACAAAATTAGTGTGTGTCTCTTAGTCTGTTTTAGATGCGTCCATCTCCAGAACGAAACCTCCCCCCCCCCTCCAAATCGTATTGCAGTAAGTAATAGCCTTACCAGCCACGCAGAATAAATCAAGCGGCTGAGAAAGCTTAGAATCCATGTCATCATAACTCCCGTTGAGTGAAAGTATGAACGACAGATTCTGATCGTTGATCCGGCATGTGAAAAGTCCTTCAACGAGGGCGAAGCTAGCGGGGCCCGGTTCGGCGCGGAGCAGAGTGAAGGAGTAAGAGAACTAAGACCGTAAAGCTCGTGTTCATATGCACGAGTCCAGATTGGCTGAGCGGAAATTCACTGCGGTCGCCGAGCATTCAAAAAAATCAAACAAAATAGAATAGATCAGAGCCGTTAAATGAAAGACGTATACACATTGTTTGAAGAACGGGTAATATGGGGAAAATTAATGGTAATCCCGAGTAGAGTGAGACTTGAAGGACTTAAAAGCATATCCTTGAGTAATCATCCACAGACCAAAAGAAATGGTTGAAGCCGGCGCCGAGGAACTCGGACTAGCGCGGTGGACGCCGGCGGTCAGGATGCAACGACCCGAGCTCTATCCGTGGTACCAAATTATCTGAACTTAAACCGTCGCACAGTCAGCTGATAATAGTGATTTTCTCGATAAGCTCGCGAATTGCTTGGTTTTTCTACAAATGAAATTGAAATCAATTCTTACAAAAAATGCGCTGTCGTACTTAGGGATTCTTCAGTGGATGGTTATCGATCTAGTTTCAAAGCTTTTCAGAACTATTAACAAAATTTACGAATTTTATCAACACCTTGACAATAGTGCGGCAACTTATAGATATATTATTGACCGTCACTTTCGCCGCCACGTCGGGCATGTGAAAACTATTGCTATGCACAAAATTTACAATTCTTTTTCGAGTGCCCGTATTCTCCCAGTTTTTCTGTGCCTGTCATCTACAGGTCCATACTATCAGCGTTACCCAAAACGACGTGCTTCATGTGGCCAATTATTTCTTTCGTGTTGTCAGAGACATTCGGCGACTAAGAAAAATACCCAGTCCTGTTTCGTTGACTCGCTTTAGCGCGTGAACATGTAGATGGAAAGAGTAGAAGATGGTGCAATACAAACCTAACTGCTGTGGCTAGATATGTGTTCCATGTTTTTTGGTATTTTTATTTAAAACACGCGTTCTGGAATGACTGTAGATATTGAAGCGCAGTGTATAATGAAAGTACAAAAAAATAGCCTTCTCGTGACCATAACACGTTATTTTGGTCGAACTTTTACTGTAACTCCCGATAAGTTGAGCACATCGAACATTATGGAAAACACTTTGTCGCATCGAAGTTTTGCGTATTTACAGCTCAAAATCCACGGATTTGAGTGAGGCGGCGGCGCTCGCAGAAGCGCTCTGGTTCCCACGCGGTCAAAAAGCCAAAAGGCAATAAAATAAAAACAAAGCAAAACCATGTCGTCAACTTGTTAAGGGAAAGCTTTGAATTTTTCTTGAAATTCTTCTTTTCCTTTGATCGGAGCACCTCAGTAGGGGAAATGCTTTGAGGCTAAATATCTAACGGGAGATGATGAGAGCTACAACAGGTAACGGAGAGAAGGTTGTGTTAGCTGACCATTTTCGTAAGAGTAGCTCGCCTAAGCATTGAAATGATCTTAGTCTGAAAGTGAATAGAGGTGGTTTTCAGGTTTTTAAAGAGGTCAATGTATACCTTAGTTATTAGGTTTAGAAGGGGTCAATACATACTTTAGAATGACACTGTTATGATAGTACACCATGTCAAAAGATTTTCTCAGCTGGAAAACTGAATTTCAAAAAAAAAACCGTCCCAACTAGTTGGAGAACCCAGCTCTTCAAAAACAAGCCATGAGCGATTCGAGCGTTCACTTCACGAAATCGGTTTCAGAAATACATTACTGGAACTGAAGATCGGTCGAGAATTTATACACGCTGTCACTGGACGAGCAGCAGCGACGACGAGAAGGAATCGAATGTGTCAGATGAAGACACCATCATATCATGATTTGTTGGCGCAGAGGCAATTGTAATCACAGATCCTTCTAATGCGACTACCTATCATAAAAAGAAATAGAATTTCTTTTAAATGGTTTTTAAACTGCATGATTTATTTGAATTAAAAATTTCAATTATATGGCTTCAGCAACAAAACGTATTACCAGCTTGCACCAGCTGTGATGGCTTGATCAAGGACGTCGCTTTTAAGCATATGGAAAACTGCCTACTGTATCACCCAAATTTCGCTCTACGCCTCAAGTCGAAAAAAAGAGTGGCCTGTTCATGTTGGTGCTCCCAAACTGCACAGGAAGAACGAGCACACGTCACCCAACGTACTGTGGAGAGGACGATGCTAGGAGTAACCCTATACACGCAAGTGCAGAGGGGAATCCGGAGTTCCGAACTACGCCAACGATCGAAGATCAGGGACGCTGCCGTTTTCGCCAAGGAATCGAAGATAAGGTGGGCCGGACACGTCATGCGATTTTGTGACGAGCGCTGGACCAAGGCGATTACGAACAGAATTTATTGGGACACATCGAACAACCTACTAACGACGATCGCCGGCACGATGATCAGAGGCTCAGCGCAAAGGGAATGATGGACTTCCGTCCCTTGAGCTGGGTTATTCAGAGCACTCTGACACCGAACAAGGACCAAAGTTCAGACGAGTTGCTCGACGTCTTCACGACTCGTTGAACAACCATGACAGGAATACCAGGCATTTAGTCTTGATGGCTGCGAAGCGGGGATTCAGCTGCCTTCATGCTGCCTCCACCCATCAGCGCAATGAGAACAGCATTTCCGAACAAAATCACTGAACACACATTTTTGTTAAAAGTTCAGGGCCGCGTAGATGTGTGAGAGGTTCGCAGCTTCACGACAGCTTTAGCCTTAATACAGAAAGACCAGACTGCATTAATGTGAAGACCCCTAGAGGTTTTCTGCGAAGCAGTTCCACACCGCGAGTCCTCTCGGCTGGAACGAGACTTCAAATCGAGCCGCGATGGCTCATGGTGTTTAGCACTGTGCTGCGTGACTGATCCCCGCTGCTTCGAGAAGCAAAATTCAAATGGAAATAGAAAAGTTGTAAGGTGGAAGGAGCGGCCAAATAAAACTGTATCCTTTCAAAATGCTGCGCAATCATTCAGTAATGATGGACGGGGCTGCGGCAGGTTCGGATCGGACTCGTTGCACTGCAATGGTGTCGACTGCGGTTACAGTAATCCTATTGCAGAAAGCAAAGAGCGTAACCAATTTCCCTTTATTTTATCACTCTCGGAACGGCTTCCTTTCTTCCGTAAAAATAGGTACTATTGTAGGCGCGAAAATACTGTGTTTCCCAATAGCATCAAGCAAGGCAATTTTGGTGAGCACCAAAATTCAGCAGAAGAACCACGATTTTGATGGCAATGGCGCAGCGGATTGACATCGAGTTGACGAGAATTAGCGGCACCCATCCACTGGGCCCTATAATTACCTTCTCGTTAATTTTGTTTAATTCCTACCAAAGTCTACTGCGCTTTTCCCATAAGGTGTTCCCTATGAGAACTCAAAAACTCGACACTTCTAACTCCATCTTGCAGCTTGGACGCACAAATTCACGTCCTGTTATCGTGAGATATGCCTCTAAAGGCACATTCCATAACGCAGCTCCTAGTGCGTAGATCAATCCCTCCCGTGGTCAAGATAGAGCTGCCGATATGAGTAGACGATATGTATTCCGGAGCGGTCGAAGCCTCCAACACATGGTGGCTAAGGTCTTGTCCTGAAACATCGCTAACGTCGCTCATCGTGCCAAATATACAACGGTCTAGAGTTACTTCGTTCCTACTTCTCTCAGTTCCCTCGCTTCCACAAACATTTTCGGCTTGCACCATGCGTGTCCCAGACGTGTCTTATCGTAAACAATTCGTCATCCAAGAGATGGCCCTACGCTCTTCTTCAAAATTTAATAGCATTTCGGCTTCGCCCATTCCCATTTATAATCCACTAGTGCTCTCACCATGAACGCCCCACATACCTTTTCCGGTTGAGATAGCCATTTTCATTCTAAAGTGGAATGCACTGATAAGTGGAGGTCTGAAATGTGTATACTTGTGTCATTTTACTAAACAGTGAATTTGACAGTGTCAAAAAAAAAAAAACTGGCAAATGTGTGCTGCGACAAACGAGGGATAAATATTCATTGTAGCTCATAAAAGCCCTATAAATCAACAATGTATTTTGATCACAATTAACAAAATTGAATATAAAATTACATGATGAGAATGGAAGGTTTAATCCATCGACCTGGACCAAAAGGGCTACAATTTGAGTTCACACAATGGAATTGTCCACGGAAAATTCTTGTATTCTTTCCTCACATGAATATGTAGTGTAACCACTACATATTCATACAAAGAACCAAGACGCAAGAAAATTCAGTTTCGAAGAGAAACAAACTACGAAAACCACATTCTTGGGATAGTCGCGGGTAAGGGGTGGAGACGAGTGCAAGTTGTCTTGATACGATCACATATTAAGATCGAATCAAAGCCCTCGAATTTGGAGAATATGTATAGACAAAACGATCGATAGAATAGGATGCCGAAGAAGAGTTGAATGTTTTCGCAAGAGATGAAAAGGCCAAAGGGTTTTTAGTGACGGCACTCCAAGAACTCTAAGTGAAGCGTTACCGTCGCCAACATTTGTGCCAGATGTACGGTGGAAATTTAGACGCGTAGCAGTACTAGTTCCGTTTTCCGACATGTTCATCAAAACATTTTCTCGTTCTTATCGTGGAGTATGGCTCTCGAAAAAAAGGTTCTATGGGGGACATGAAATAATAACTTTGCCGTGGACCATTCCCCTAACAATCCCTAAACCCATGATTGAGCTTAGCCTGTGAGCAACAGGAAAATGTAAAAATTCCCTTCCATTCTCATGCTTATATTCCTAGAGTGCACCAAAAAAAGAGGTCTTTAACAGAACAATAATCAAAGATCAGACCTATAGTCAATAAATATTTCTCCAAAAAAAATTCAACAACATAAGGAAATATTAATCACGAGAACAAAAATTATGGCACTCTAGGGAGGAAAAATTATCATAACAAAGTGCTACAAAGTGACATTAGGAAGGACAGAGAACAAGCATGCAGCCAGGTTGGGTCAGGCCGCCTAGCTCGGCCAGTCTAAGATAGGGTCGATCATTTGAGAATCAGTGAATGGTACCAACGTCATCAATGAGAAACCCCTGAGTCTATATCTTTTCTGCATGTTGTGTGATGGCAGCTTTTCGTCAGCTTTTTGAATTGAAATTGCAAAAAGCATGTTTGTACTGTTAGAAGGTGGAACAGCACATGCCTAAATGGAAGATTCACAGATTCGATGGATTTTCAAAAATAACACTAAGGACCAGAGTAACTGGACTTGGTTCGTTGTTGGAATGAAGCATATGGCGAGCGCTAGGTGATGGCAGCCTGAGTCATAGGATTTATTAGGAAGCCTGGCTGCATGTTTAGCTAACACGTCTAAGAATGCCAGAATGTGAATTTACTCACGAACAGGTGCTTGGTCATTGAATTTGTGGGTGTTCATCGTCCTCACGTGAGGTTTCTTCACAGACGGAGAGTCAGAATTCATCTCGCTATACCGCTGCTGGCTTGCTGGGAGCCTTTCTCAACCAAGTTCACAACGTCTTCCGCATCCGTTTTCTTAACCATTCCTTTCCGCTGAGGTATCACCGAGAAGAAATGCCTTCTCCCAGTCACCATGAGTGGAAAAATGCGCCAGAATTTCAAACACATGGTTGATTGTGAGCACCTGAAAATTCGTCTCCATATAAAAAAGAAATCCACGATTGAACACAATTCACCCTTCAGACAAATATAACACTAGCAGAGGATAGAACTAGCAAGTTAGGCGCGATTCATTGAGAAAAAAGTAAAAGGCACAACCTGCTTAAGTCACTGGTGCAAACCGCCAACCCTAGGATGGTGGAGCGACCAGCAACCCTACAAAATTCTGGCTAGCGACTTCGCCGCCTGACATTGCCAGCAGGAGCACTTCACAAACGGCTAGTGTTCCAAATCGGGCGATCCGTCGCAGACTCGGACACCAGCATAGTGCTCGGCGAGGTGATTCGCACAATCGCACAATCGCAAAGTGCCTCATTTGACGCGTTTATATGTTTTTTTTCAGAAGGAAGTGAAATGAAAAGTATTAGGTTGTCCCATAATTAGTGAATCACTTTGGGTATTTTTGAATTCGAATTTTTTTCTTTTTCATATGGAGTCTCTGCTCATCCAAACATACATCCCTGTCATCTACAATGTATTGCCTATACAGGGAAATTTTGTCGCTGTCTTATCTCTAGAAATCCAGGAGCTATTGATCGAAGAAAGATCGGAAGTCGAGTTTGAGGTCATGTCACTTAGCGTAAAATTCCTCCCTGGGGAAGAGCGCTAGAGGTCAAACTGAGTTGCCTCTTGTTGGCACGAGGATAGGGCCACACAGAGGAAGTGGAAGATCGGCTAGCTTGAGAGTCTCTAATTTTTTATGAATATTTCTCCGCAAGGTGGGTCGAACGACCTCAGGAAAAAAGCAGACTTTGTCTTGCTTTACTTTCAAATTGAATGCGCCGCCATTACGCTGTAGATGTTGATCTTCTTCAGTGACTCTAGTATTACTAGGCGGCGGTTCCCAGCGCATGGTCACTCTCGTGCTCCACCAATATCTCTGAAGGGTCGGACTAGAATGAGGTTTGGCTTTTGCTATCAGAACTCCCGAATCGTTCACGCTGGGCTACTGCTCCTCGGAGATTTGCTAGTACACTTCACGCAGTCCAGAACCCTGGTGAATAAGCTGGATGATCACTGTAAGGAACTAAGGGAGATCAGAAGGAACATGACGATGTCAGATCGTGTGCGGAGCTGTTTCGAGCTCAAAGCACACGAGATACAAATTAAATATTTTAAAATCGTTACAACTCTACGTAGATGTCTACATTCCATTATTTTAACAAGTCGGGCATGCTCTAGCAAAAGGCGGCTAGTTCGTCCATATTCACGCTTAGTGGCGCTGGGTATAGCACTGAGATTGCCAGTTGAGGGGTAGTTGGAGTGTGGGTCATCTTCAACTAAAAAAGCCAACCTCTCGATAGAGTGAACTATAAGCAGACCGTGGAGTGAGGGAGCGTGCCCTTGCCTATCTGCTGGTCGATTCTCTATATTGTTGGGCGTTTGAAAGATCTTAATCAGAAGTGATTAAGAAGGGAGCTCAAAAATAGGTTCCAGAAAAATTGAAATGTCAGCCACGGAAGGCAGCATGGAAATGGGGCTGAGTAATTGTGCTCAAGTAGGACAATGTG